TTGGGGTCTCTTTTTATTTTTTTGAGTTTGAAGTCTGTTTTATCTGATATAAGTATAGCTGTTCCTGCTTTCTTTTTTGGCCCATTTGCTTGTAGGATTGTTTTCCATCCTTTGACTTTGAGCCTATTTTTATCTTTTGTAGCTAAATGTGTTTCCTGGAGACAGCAAAAGGTTGGGTTTTGTTTCTTAATCCAGGCTGCAACTCTGTGTCTTTTTATTGAAGAGTTTAGTCCATTTACATTTAGATTTAATATTGATATGTTAGCATCTGTATTTGCCATTATGTTTGTCTTTCCTTTGATTTTATTTATTTATTTTAATAACTTTTTTTTTTTTTTTGGTCTTTTTCGTTGTTATTCGTCCCTCTGAGGTTCTGGCTTTAGGATTCCTTGTAGTATTTTTTGGAGTGGGGGTTTAGTCGTAATGAAATTCCGGAGTTTCTCTTTGTCTGGGAAGGTCCATATTCTTTCTTCATGGAGGAAAGAGAGCTTTGCGGGATAGAGTATTCTTGGTTGGCATCTGTTTTCTTGAAGTCTGTTGACTATGTCCCTCCACTCTCTCCTTGCCCGTAGTGTTTCTTCAGAGAAGTCTGATGTCAGCCTGATTGGTTTTCCTTTGAATGTTATCTGTGTCTTCCCTCTTGTCAGCTTCATTATTTTTTCCTTGTCCTGGATTCTTGGGAGCTTTACTATTATGTGTCTTGCTGTGTTTTTCCTTTCGTCGTGGAAGTTTGGTGTTCTTCTTGCTTCTTGTATATCAATTTTCAGCTCCTTCTTCGCATTTGGGAAGTTCTCTTCAATTATCTCCTGGAATATTTTCTCTGTTCCTACATCTCTCTCCTCTCCTTCTGGAATTCCTATAACTCTTATATTTCCTTTCCTTATGGAGTCAGATAGTTCCCGAAGTCTTTCTTCATTCTTTTTCCTTCGTACTTCTCTTTCCTTTTCTGTTTTGGTTCTTTTTATTTCTGTGTCTTCAAGAGTACTTATTCGTTCTTCCATTTCATCTATTCTGCTTTCATTGCTTTTCCCAGAGTTCTTTAGTTCCTCCATTAATTCTTTGATCTCCTGCATTTCTTTTATTTCCCTCTTTAGGGACTCTATTTCCTTCTTCTGATCTATCACTTTTTTAATCATGGCAATTTTAAATTCTCTTTCTGGAAGGCTCAGAAGTTCTTCCAAGTTGCTGTCGTTGCAATCTGGGGAGTGGTTTTCTTTTTGTGGTGTGCTTCTTTCCTGAGGAGTTGTTAGGTTGCGTGTGGTTCTTCTACTCCCTACTGTCTGTTTTCTAATTTGTCATATGTGTTGGGACACTGTGTTGCTCGGACTGACTGGCATCTTGGGTGAACTTCTCCGCTCCCCTCTGGCTCTTCCAGGAGCCATCTCTGTCTTCTGGGGGAGCTTTCTGCTGGTTTTAGGCAGTTTTTACTGAAGAAATGTCCCTGTTATAAAATGGCGAAGCGGGATGCAGTCCCTGCGCCTCCGGTTTCAGGCACACTCTTCTGCGCCCCGGTCTGCCCCGGACGTGGGTGCCTGCTCCCTCTGTGGGCTCAGACTGCTGGTCGGAAGGGGCCTGGCGTGGGGTGGGCTAACTTCCCGGCTGGCCACTGGGTCCTCCAGAAGCCTTCTGCCCTTTTCAAGCAGTCTTAAGAAATTTCCTGTTCTATGGGGTGTTAGTGACTTTTTTTTCCTGGTGGCTAGGTGGCGCCAGAGATCTCTCCTATTGTCCTTGGGGGCTGTTTTCGCCCCCCCACCCCGTGGGACAGGGAACAGAGCGGGAATGGTAGGGTAAACCTCAACAGCTTTGGGGTGCTGTGTCTGCCTTGTGCCCCACCGTCGTGGGGAACCCATGCCCCTAATTTCGTGCCCCGGGTCTCAGTTCAAAGCCCTCAGGTCCAGGACGCGGGCTGTAGCCCAGTTCAGTGCCGCGGGAATGGCGCCTTTTGCACCCGGCTCCTGTGCCTGGACGCCTGGTTCCTGCTTACTCAGGGAGGGATCTTCACCTCAGTGAGGACCTCTGCGCGTCACCCCGCAAGCCTAGGTCGCAGGCGCGGGGACCTGGGCAGCCGCGATCCAGGTCCGCGTTTTCTTTTCAAGCGCGCCAAGCGCGCCGCTTTCCTGCGCAAGCTTACCGGCAGCCCGGGCTGTGTGCGCATCTCCCGGGGTCTTTGTTCTTCTCTAATGGCGCCCGGAGCCGTTCGCTCACCGCCGCGGCAAATCCTGCAGGGTTCGCCTCAGCTCCCGTTCACGGGGTGTGGTGGCTGCAATAGTTCCTTTCCACTCACAGTCCCGCTTGCTGCTTCGTTTGTTCTTGTGGGTCGTTTTGGTTTGTTGTTTTCCTCCTCTCTGCCGGTCGGAGAGTGCCGCCTCTGTGGGCGGGGGAGGGGAGCAGGGTTCTGCGCTTCCCTCCCTTCTAGTCCTCTTTTATGGCCACTTTCCTCTTCGGGTAGTTTGCTGGAGTCACCCGTTTATCTTCCGTGTCCCAGTTCTCTCTGGGACCTGCTGCTTTTCCTCCCTATTAACTTTTTTTAATGGGAGATCTTACTCGCAGCGTCTCCTCGCCGCCATGTTGCTCTGCCCTCTTTCTGAATATAGGCAGTTTTCTAAACATTAAAACATACAATATGTAACATAACAGTTTATTTTAGAATTGTTCATTGAGATAAAATTAGTTTACAATACTGTATATTCAGGGGTATAGGTTCATACCTATTCATACTTGTTCAGATGCATATCGCCATACTACATCCACCACCAAAGCACCATGGTCCATTTTGGTCTCACTCTTTTTAACTGTCTTCATATTTAGCCTCATTTTTTTCAGTAAGTAGTTTTTTTTTTTTTTTAAAGATCTATTTATTTATGCATACAAAAGCTGGGGTACAGGCCAGAGGTGTGGGTGGTGAAAGGATTCACCAGAGACAGAGTGGGCAGCAGAACAGGCAGACTGAAATACACTGCTGAGGGGAGCAGTGGGTGATTCAAGAGGTCTGCTGTGCCATGTGGGTAGCTCCCTGGCCAGGGATTGAACTCATGCTGCAGTGGTTGCGGATAGCTTCATAGGTTGCATCTTTATCCCTTGCACCACCAGGGAGGCCCCAGTAAGTAGTTCTTGATTATTACTATTGCTACTACCCTGTCTGTCTTTCTTTGGATTTTTTCCCCTTGGGGTAGTAATGATGACTCAAGAAACAAGCTATTACCAGACAAGTATGATAAAATAAAAAAAAAAAAAAACCTATTTACCTAATTCTTGTATTCATAGAATTCATAATCTTATTTGGGGAAAAAGGACTTGAATGAAGATCACCATAGTCAAGTGAAATAAATGTTAAAGTGGGAAGGCATCCCAAGGATTGCTGGTTAACACATGAGGTAGTCTTGGGATTGAATCATTAAAGAAGAGGAGGAGTTTGATTGACTGATCATGTCTAGAGGAGGACTTCCACTACAGGAACAAATGTTAAGACATATTATGGTGTCTGAGCACTCACAAGTCACCTGATATTTGTAAATGGTGTTGGGGGTGACTGTTGAGACTGCAGCCAGACCATGTGGATTTCATAAATCTCTGCTCTCCCTAAACACACTTCTAAATTAACCACAGTAATGCCAACTTGAATAATTTGATTAAAACATTCACATTTCTGGCTTCTTTACTTTCTTCTGAGGCATAATCCCTTCTCAATAAATTCCTTGCTCCTCAAGTTGTCTGTGTCTTTTAATTTATCCTTACTTTTTGCCAACTCTAGGCTCCTCATGTAGTTGTTTGTTTCATTTGTTTAGGGAGAATGATCTGGCAAGTTGAGAGTGGTTATGAGAGTTGGTGAGACAAAAGTAGGCCGGGGCTAGACTACTCAGAAGCCATGTATCACATTTTGAGGAATTTGTATTTTATAATTAGTGGAGAGCTGCTAAAATATCTGAACTAAATGAGGGATGGGGGAGGGGTTAGAGGAAGGGAATTACAAGATTAGTTTTTTATTTTTGAAGAGCAACTTAGACTATGTTAAGGGCTATAACTACAGAAGGTACAGTATAGGCAAGAAAGCATTGATCCTCAGATTAGTAGCAGCATCACCTGAGAACTTGTTAGAAAAAGAGATGCTCAGGGTCTACCCTACACCTAACTTAATCAGAAATTCTGGGGGTAGGTTACAGTGATCGCTTGTTTTGATTCTAATGAGCACCGAAATTTGAGCGTAGGGATACCAAGGCTAATGTGGCTGAAATATCGTTTGCAAATGTGTTTAACGTTATGTATTGATTTTGATTAGGTGTTCATTATGTTTGAGTTTTGCATTAATGATTAAGAAATAGAAAATAGAATAGCTATGTAGATTTTGTGATTTAGTTATTTATCTGAATGCCTAAAATTAAAAGATATGAAGAACTAGTACTGTGTGGGTAATCCATTATACTTCGAAAAGGGGAGACAGTTCAGGATCTTGTGGGAAGATAAACCATAGTCAAGAGGAGATACTGAAGTAGAATAAAACAAGTAAGAGGTGATTAATGCTCTAGATGTTGCCAGTACTTATTTGTAACATGGTGCTTACATCGTCAGTATGGAAAACTGGTTGAAGATATTATTAAAAAAGGGGGGAACACCAGCTGTTTGCGTAGCCCAAAGGAAAAGATGGTGGGTTTCTCCAAGATTTGCTAAGATGTCCTTATACAATTAGTTCCACATAGCTATCAATATTAAGAGGTGGTCTATTTTCATTCTTTATATAATAGCTAAGCAGCAGATTTGCATCTAACCCAGATTTCATGTTTTTCTTTGAGGGTGTGAGGGTTGTGGGTTTAAATTTCACCAGGGTGCGAGTGTTGTGGGTTTAAATTTCACCATTGTTGGAATGGACCTAAGTCTGATAATCTTCCTTTATTTCCCTCTGTTAACTTGCTGGATGACCAGACGTACAGATAAAGCAAATACAGATAAATCAAAATTGTGTCATAAAGGATAAGTAATCTCCTTGTCTTCAAATTTTGTTCCAGGACCCATCAGTTACACAAGTGACAAGAAATGTTCCACCAGGACTTGATGAATACAATCCATTCTCTGATTCTAGAACAGTAAGACTATTCTTCATTGGATTACTTTTAAATGTTGAAATTAAATAGGGATGGTTCCTGTTTAGTTTGGTTAAACTTTTATGTAGAATTTAGCTAGTTAATTTTTTTTAGTAGGAAGTAATAATTGAAAATTACCTTTAGAGTCTAGTGACATACTGCACATTTTCTTTTTCTACAGATGAAATTGCTAATAATCCCTCTAAGTTGTAAATCTTGTAATACTTTAAGTAGAAAAGTGGCTTTTTTGTTAAATATGATGTCTTCATGGTAATGTGGGTAATGCTTTTATTAAAATGAGAGACCTATCTATGGAACTGTGTGCCATGAGTATTTTTGTCATTTTGATTAGGCTATTTCGAATAGCATCACCGTCTGCTCTGGAAGACTAGAACCTTTAGGACTTTATCTAGACTAGGAAAGCATTTTCTTTTCAAAATTTAGTTTTGACTTATAAAATGTAGGGGTATTAAAAAAAAATCCTTATACCACAGGTTTCTCTATTCTGAAGGCATATTGGAAGTACCTGGAGAACTTTATTACACTATCTGTTAGGGCCCTAAACTCTTACAATTAGGACTATTTTGTGTTTTAGCATTTGTGATTTTTTTTTAAAGATTTATTTATTTATTTATACAAGCACTGGGTACAGTCAGAAACGTGGGAGGGTGAGAGAATTCACCAGAGCGGAGAGCAGAACAGGCAGATTGACGAAGCACACTGCTGAGAGGAGCAGCGGGCGGCAGGAGAGGTCTGCGGGCCATGTGGGACCCTTGCCCAGTGGCGGCGGTGGAACCTGTGCTGCAGAGGCTGTGGGCAGCTTCGCAACCCAGCGCTCAACCGCTGCACCACCGGGGAGGCCCATTTTTGATTGTTTTATTGGGAATCGCTTTTGAGAACTATTGAGAGATTTCTGTAGAGCATTCTGACAAATAACTGTTTTTTGCATTTGCATCTTTGACTTAGATAACACATTCAGGAGGTCCCTCATTTTAGACATTGTTGGCTTACTCTTCATCCTCTTAAAGATACTGAAGCTCTTGTATGCTTGGATTTACATATTATTATTACAATATTATTACATAATTCTTGGTCATTTCTTCCTATGTTTTTCATAGTCTAGAAAATAATTCTAAAAGATTATGTTGATTTTTTTACTTAGAAATTTCAAGATGTGTTATATTAACTCTTTAGGTTTAGGAAGAGTGTTGAACTAAGTGAAAAGATTAAAATAAGATTTAGTTTATAATTTTTTTTTTAAAGATTTATTTATACACGAACTAGGGTATAGGCCAGATACGCAGGACGGTGAGAGGATTCACTAGAGACAGCGGGGAACAGAACAGGCAGACTGACAAAATACACTGCTGTGGGGAGCAGCGGGTGAGACAGGAGAGGTCTGCTCACCATGTGGATTGCTCTGAGGCCAGTGGGGATCAAACTGGCACTGCAGAGGCTGTGGACAGCTTCACAGCGTGACACTCAACCACCTGCGCCACCAGGGGAACTCCTAGTTCATAATTTTTACTTTATTTCGCAGTCCTCATTTAACAGATTTTGCTTTTGTGCAACAATTGCAGTCCAGGCTGGGAATCCTAAAATGTACATTAAGCAAGTAAATTGCAAAATGAATTATGTCAATTTCCTTCCTTATAGGAAATTAGTGCTGTTACTATATGAGTTTGATTTGGTAGTAGTAGAAAGGAAAAAATAATAAGAACTCTGGTATATTTTATTTTATATGTAGTTCTTCTAACATAGATGGGAACAAGATTTATTAAAGTTTTCTGATAAAGAATAAAAAGATTTTTATGTGATTTTGGGAAGATTTTTACTAGCAAGAAATAGTTTTAAGCTTTTTTACAGCTTTAGATTACTCTTATCTGTAGTGATAGTATTATCAAGTGGTCTACTTAGTGTCTGCTCTAAATCTGATATCTTAATTGAATTCTTAAAATAACATTCAAGATGGTATTCTTTATTTTTCTGATCAAAAATATGCATCAAAGGTCATACAAACTAAGTAGGTGGCTAAACTGGTTTACTAACACATCTGTTTTCTATAGTGTTTGCCTTTTCAATTTTGCTAGTGCTGATTTTCGAGATAGATGCTAAGAAATAGAAGATATGTTACAGGGCAACCCCAATGTGAAATGGGTTGCCTCACTGTGGGCCCTCACCCACACACTTAAAAGGGACTTATAATAAGACTCAACTGCAGGCATATACCACAGAAAGGTTAATAAAGGGTTCATGTATAAGAAGAGGGAAAATGAAGAAAGGAATAACTCAAGGAGGAAAAAAAAAAAGAGATAAATTGGTAAACGTGTCCTACTAGTAGTTCCCCTGAGCTGGGACCCCAGAAGCATGCTGAAAACTGGTGAAAAACCAAAACCAACAGCCCTCCTCTACCCCTCCACCCCCTCAAGTCCACATGTCTCTGGTTATATACCAAGCTTGGCTGCTTAACTCCACCCTTAAGTCCCAGTGCTCCTCCCTTTGATGGTGATATCATTATGGGGTTTGTAATCCTTGGTGCCTTGCCTTGGATCTCTGTGGTCCATAAAACCTAAATGTGGGGTTTGTTCAGGACATCCTTTCCCCCCAACAGATAACAGTCCTTGTCTTTAAAAAATTTCTTACCTAGTTAGGATTTTAAAAATTATACAAAGAAGATACTGCCTAAGATAAATAAAACAAAAATGTAGGTTGTGGTCCTTAATATTGAAACTTACAATCAAGGCAAGGTTTTCTCAGCAGTCTTGAGTAGATAGCTGGGGATTCATGGAATGTTAATTTACAATAAGACACTTTTTTTTTTTTTTGAAGATTTATTTATTTATGCATACAGGAACTGGAATACAGGCCAGAGATGTTGGGGGTGGGGCGTGGTGAGAAGATTCACCAGAGACAGTGGGGAACAGAACAGGCAGACCAACTGAAGTTTACCATTGAGGGGAGCAGCGGGCCAGTCAGGAGAGGTCAGCTGCGCCATGTGGGTTGCTCCCTGGCCCGATGGGGATCGAACTCCTGCTGCAGAAGCTGCAGATTGCTTCATAGTGTGGTGCTTAACCCCTTGCGCCACCAGGGAGGCACCTACAATAACACTTTTTTAGATTTGATAAGCAGTGATAATAATGTCAGAAAAATAATTGTTACGAAAGAACTTGTGAATTTTCCACTGACCTTTTTGCATGGAAAGCACAGTTAAAATAATTAAATTCATTTGTTTTCTATATGGTATTATTTCAGAAATTTGTCCTTTTACAGGGTTTTGATTATTTTCTAAAACAGACTAGATGTATTCAGATAATTGATTAGGTGATATGTTAGATCTTGGTCTGAATACTATTTTAGTTGGCTGATGTTGTATTTGTTTTTGAAAAATGTTTATGAAAATGAAGCCTCTTGATGGTTGGATAGGAGTATGGTAAATTACTTGAGGTCAAGTCGGAACATCTTGAGCCAAGCGCCAAGCAAGTGTATAACTTGGTAGTTTAGAAAGTTCCAATATTTTACTTTTACTTTTTTTAAAGTTAGTTTTACGTTCATATTTAGCTTTCTGCTTTTTTTTTTTTTCCCCCAAATACTCAATTTTTCTCCACTGGGCCAAGGCATTTAACAAATCACCACTTGTGTTGGACTGGATCATCTCCTTTGACAAACAAAACTATAAACTACTTCTTGTGTGTCACTGATATGCCCACTTTCTGTTTTGCTAAGAAAGAGGTGTTTAATCGTATAACGATCTTTTTCGCACAACTGCTGCCATAATAACAGTTGCAGACTAGTAACTGGAATAACTTTCTGCTTAAGGTATTAACTAAATAAAGGAGACAACAGATTTAAATAATTGAATGCTTTAAATAATTTACAGTTAATTCATTCTATAAATTCAGAGAAAGGAGTGGTCACAAGATATCTTACAGTACAAATTAAATCAGTCTGTTGTCAGTATAATGGAGACTGTTCAGCACTTGAAATGTGGTGAATTGTGAATTATGAAGTACTGTAAAAATTCAGAATAGTCTTGAGATATGACGTAATTTTTTGGTTTGAATTCAAAATGTATTTTCCCCATTGAAATTATGTTGAGCATGGTAGGTATGTTTCCTGGCTTAACCTATAAAGTTGAATGCATACATTACTAGAAGAATTAGTTTATACATGACAAATGATGGGGAATGTTTTTCCTATAAATTAGGTAACAGTTTAAAATGCCTACTGCAGCTTGATTGTTAATAGTTTCAGTCACTGATGATAGCATTCATCACTTTAGGTACCAGGGTACCTATCCATGTGGGAGGACTGTGGCACCGTTTATTTTTTTAATTATTTTTAAATTATTTTTTTATTTTATTTTTAAATTTTTAAATTTTTTTTTATTATTTTTTTATTTGTATTTTTTTTTTTTATTTTAGGTACTGTTGATGCAATTCCTTAAAGGCATTTATCAGTGTCTAGTTTGTTGTCAAATTTTCTTCAGAAATAGGCTGCCTAGTTACTTTTTCACTCTTCTAGTTGTTGCTATATATGACTTCTTTTACATGTAACAGCAAGATATGTCTGTGCTTTCTGTAAGGAAAAAAAAAAAAACTGAAGAGAAGAAAATTCCAAATACTCCAAGTCTAAGAGGCCATTTTCTGACCATAAGAACATAGATAATTGACTTATGTAAGTCGAATTACTTCTAAGATAATTGAGAATATGAGCTAGACTGAGAGGAATAGACCTGGATTCTACTCTATTAATAGGCCCTTCTAATAATTGGTAATTTTAAGCAAACCATCTGAGCACATTGGGACTTTTTTTCAATGTGTAACAATGGAGGCAGAGAGGAAGATGTAGAGTTAAATGATTTCTAATATTGGTTTCTTTTTAAAAATTGGATAAAATTTTTAACTCCAGGGACTGGCTGGATATATTTGCACATAGTAAATATACTACTACTAAAGCATTGACTACTCCAAAAGCTTTTTATATACTTTAATACTTTATTTTCT